AGAATCAATAGACAAAATAGAAATTAATTCTAAAATAGAACATAACGATAATTTGATTATCCCGATTGTGTTCTTTTATGGAGGTTCGACTGTAATAAAATCTGGCAAATAGTTAACGCCTCAACAGCAACAGTATTATTCGATGAATCCCAATCCAAATGTTGATGCTGTATTTGTCCCTCCTTCCATTTCTTCCGTTTTAGTCGGAATATGTGCCGTTTTCATTAGACCATTTGAAGAAGTAGAATTAACTATAATAGTACGATTAATCAGACAACTATATGCCTATCGCTATCACTACTATAATTAATGCTACTTTACTGCTACCGCAGTCTGTATTTGAAGATGAAGAAATCGAACTTGAGGAAGTGGTATTTGGATTTATTCCGTTCGTGGTGTTTGTATTTGGCTTTGTTCCGTTCGTCGTGTTTGTATCATATGCGATTTCAGGTTTTGAGGTGTGGTAAGTTCTAGTTTGTTAGGTGTGTATGTTGTTTGCCATGTATATGTTGTGGTGTCGAGTACTAAGGTATTGTTTGGATAACCATCTTTCAATTGATTCGCCTAAAAAAGTATTCGAGAGCATTAATAACAATGAAATTTTCAAAAATATAAAGATTTTACTACATGCTGACCTAATAAAAAAATAAATTAAATTATTATAGAATTATCGATTCTTAATTTTAAAGATGCGTATTCTCACCAAAAGTTATAATTAAATTTGTTCCAGCCATAAATATCGTATGAGAAGTCCAACCGCGAGGAATAATTCCCTTTGTTGCTATATTTATCCAAGTGCATGGATAGGTCGTCACATCCGATACATAAAGATCGTTAAAATAACTAGTGAAATTCAATGTTCCTCCGTAAATTATAATTTTATTATCCCATGCTATTATAAATGCATTTATTGTTGTTTATGTGAGATAGAGGCAAATGCAAGCATGAACTTGAAGGATTCAATATACTTACTGCCAACTGCTGTATGCTCTAGACGTTCTGAAGGAATAACGGAGCCAGTTGCTGACTGAGAAACACAATAAATTATTTTATACTTGGATATAATTTCTTTTTAATTATTCAATTAAATTAGATTAATTACCACCGAAATCCATTGAGTTTTCTTTAAATCGAATACCATAATTTGATCCATTTTCTTGAGCTTATTGTTATCTAAAGCGCCACCTATCACGTACATTTTTCCATTTAAAAGTGTCGAAGTATGAAATGCTATAAA